TGGTGTCCCGCAAGGCTGTGTACTATCTCCGACACTGTTTCTTCTGCATATCAATGATATATTACAGATCAGTGATATTCATTGTTATGCGGACGACAGTACAGGAGATGCATTATACACCGGTCATGCAAAGATCTCGCGGGCACATACCGATGAGCTCCGGAACAGACTTGTGTCTGAAATCGAAACTTCACTCGATAAAGTTTCGATCTGGGGTGAACGCAATCTTGTTCACTTTAACCCTAAGAAGACACAAGTCTGCGCGTTCACCGCAAAAAAGACACCGTTTGTCGTATCACCTCACTTTCAGGGCACTTCCCTTGATAATAAGTCGAGTCTGGGGATTCTTGGGGTCGATATATTTAGCGACGTCCAGTTTTGCGGTCATCTGGAGGAAAAAGCTAAGATAGCTTCCAAAAAGTTGGGGGTGCTCAATAGGGTGAGACGGTATTTCATGCCAGAAAACCGCCTGAAACTGTATAAAGCTCAAGTGAGGCCACACATGGAATACTGTTCTCACCTGTGGGCAGGAGCGCCACAGTACCAACTCCTTCCGTTAGACCGCATTTAAAGTCGGGCAGCTCGAATTGTTGACGATCGGCGTCTTACTGTCCGGCTCGACCCACTGAAACTGCGTAGAGATGTTACATCTCTGTGCATCTTCTACCGAATTTATCATGGGGAGTGCTCTGAAGAATTGTTCGGATTGATACCTGCTGCAGATTTTCACCATCGTACAACCCGCCATAAACTAAAATTTCATCCCAACCATCTGGACGAGTGGCGGTCCTCCACCGTGCGTTTTTCAAGGCACTTTCTTCCACGCACAACCACTCTTTGGAATCAACTTCCAGCAGCAGTATTTCCGAACCGATACGACAACATAACCTTCAAGAAAAGAGCATATTCCTTTTTAAAAGGCCGGCAGCACACCTGCAATGCCGTAGGTGTTGTGGGTGACCATGGGCGGCGGTAGTCACTTACCATCAGGTGAGCCGCATGCTCGTTTGCCCACTGTGTTGTAAAAAAAAAATATGTATGTATTTAGGAAAAAAGGATTTGTATTGTTAGATACAGTTATCTAGTATTCACAATAAAAGTTCTGTTTAGTTTGGGACTAAATGGCGTTGTGCAATATGTAAAAAAATAAGTAATAATATCAATGATTTGGATATTTTTATTCAATAATGTTTAAACGATTGAACGGGTTTGATTAAAATTTGACACGTAAAATATATCTTTTATCTTAATGATTACGGGTAAATCCGTGAGTTACAGGTAGTTTAAATTAAGAGGTATGATAGTAATAGATATTTCTTATTATTACTTATATAAATTATATATATTTGTGATTAATAAATGGAAAAATATTAAGTCTGACTAGAATTTATTACTAACAACTAACTATTGTGACAAATGTAAACTTTGGACAGTTTAACTAATAATTACACAGCCATTTACATTTTTGCAGAAGTGAAAACATGATGTCACTTTCTTAGCTCCCGAATGATTGAACGGATTTCAATGTGTATGTGTGTGTGTTTTTCATTATAGTTCTTAGTTATGTTTAATAAAAATCTGTTCGTTTATGTCGTAATTTTTTATGATTGCTTTTGAAATGCATCGTGGTAATTAATATAATAAAGCGCGTAACAAGCAAAGCAATCTAAACGGAAAATATCGTACAAAAGTAATGCGCCGCCAGAGTAAGAAAGCTTTTAGCGTGCAGAATCAGAACGCTCCGGAGCGGTTTATGGAAAAAAGTGCAAACAAATCTTTATGGTAAGCAGCTGTGCTATTGTCACTGATGATCTCGCAAACATTGACTCTTCGTTGCTTACAAATTAACGTATTTATTTTTATATTTTTTGGTAGGTATAAAAAATAATATTATGAAAATATGGATAAGGATGTATGTTGTATTATTATCTATTTATTTAGTAAGTAAATAAATAAAAAGAAAATAGACAATTGAAAGAAGAATGCGTTGTTAGTACGGAAAGAGGATATATAAATCAAGAAAGCTTCCTAGCTCCTGTGGGTGTTGATCAGGTTTTTTTGTGGTTTTGTAGACATAATAATAAGGAATTTTATACAACAATAAATAAGGAATTTTGTGTACTTTTTCATAAAAGGTAAATGGCATTTTATTGCATGTTGTATGCATCATAGATAGCAAAGATGGGTGGCAATATATCGGGTGCTACCCGACTGAGGTATTACTTTTTTTTTTACAACACAGGGGGCAAACGAGCATGCGGCTCACCTGATGATAAGTGACTACCGCCGCCCATGATCACTCACAACACCAGCGGCATAGCAGGTGTGCTGCCGGCCTTTTAAAAAGGAATATACTCTTTTCTTGAAGGTTATGTTGACGTATCGGTTCGGAAATACTGCTGCTGGAAGTTGATTCCAAAGAATAGTTGTGCGTGGAAGAAAATGCTTTGAAAAACGCACGAAGGAAGACCGCCACTCGTCCAGATGATTGGGATGAAACTTTAGTTTGTGGCGGGTTGTACGGAGGTGAAAATCAGCAGCAGGTATCAATCCGAACAATTCCTCAGAACACTCCCCATGATAAATTCGGTAAAAGATGCACCGAACACATAATGTTACGTTAATAAACTATTGAAAATAATTAAGTTTGTTGCTATCAACTTTATTAAAATGTGGTAATGATCGCATATCAATAGCTAGGGATAAAATACTTTGAAAATTATGTAATGATTAATAATTGAAGAAATATATACAATACGAAAGTAGATAGGTGGTAGGTTTTTATAACGATTAGATAAATAGTCTTCTAGCTTAGGAGAAATCAAAAGTCACGGCAACGAGAAACATATAAGCTGGTTATGAAAATCGAAAAAAAAAGCTTTTGCAGTAGGTTCTCTCTGCCTATCCTATAACAGACTTGGTGTGGCAATTTGTAGATAAATAAATCTACTTTATCACTCATGTACTCTATGTCTGTTACCATTTCTGATGATACGTCGTAGTAGTCGTCGTAGTAGTTAGTAGATAGATTATATGTTCTGTGTTAGGGATTGTAATGGTTATCTTATTGCATACAAACAAGCACTGATGTTTTTCATTAACAATAAGTGATATGGTGGTAAATTAATTTGGCAAGTTATATAAGATTTTATTATGAATAAAATTTTATTTGTAAAATATATTATAAAGGTTGGTATCCTAACCTCGAAAAACACATTATATTATATTATCACTTCAAAGTGCTATGGGCGTATGTACTATTCATATTTATCTTGCCGTGTGTAGTGTGTGTAAAACGGTTTTTTTATAAGGTAGTTTCAGAACAATTTTAATAGAGTGTACTCACATGAATATTATATATAGCACTATTACTATACCCTATTTATCATTGAACGTAACCTTGTTTTTCTTTTAGTAAGTTTCAGAATTATTTTATTAGTAATTACTAGTATTATTATTACGCGGTAATATATTTAAAAAAATATATATTACCACATTGCTGAATGATCGCGAAATGATCATCGATTTCTCAAATAGAGAGATATTTTATTTAGTACAAGAGAGATATTTTCTACGAACATTCACCAATGCTTTTAAACATAATTATAAAATAGTTACCTATATGAAAGTAGACAACATAAGTTCCCTTATGTTCCTATATGAAAACTGTGTACCTCTATTGAACTATTTGTTGTGATATGAATAAATGCGATCAATAAGGTAAATTATGATAACTAGCCTGGGTTATCTCAATCTTTCGATTAGGTTACACCAAATGTGGTCACCAGTAAAACGGAGAAGTTATGCCTGCACTCCCGAAATAGAATTTAATACCTACTCATTATCATCATCATATCAGACTTTAACTATCCATTGTTTAACACAGGCCTCCCCCTTAAAAGGGGTTTTGTAAATAGTTGTCATGTTTGACAGGTTACTTGGCAATTACAGTTTGGCTTTGAAGGTGTTTTAAGAGGGACGCTGCTGCCCATCCTGCGCCCTCCCTTAGTCGTCTCTTACGACATCCACGGAAAAGAAAGGGGTGGCCAATTCTATCCTAAAAAAAGTTTATACTTTCAATTACTGACTGGTGATCCGCCCTAGATCGGCTTAGCAAGGGTAGACAGAAAGATAAATTTGTATTTTATATTAGCAATATTTTATTATAAGTAATATTCTGATACTTTGTGTTTAATAGTAATTTAAGTATGTAGGTAATTTTTTTTTTAAATAAAAAGTCGCTGATAATGTAGGTCTCAAATTTAGGTGAAAGAATTTTTAAAACCACTTTGAATGTATTCATTACACACAAACAAGCAATCAATTCTTTTTTTTATAATTTTAGTATAGACAATAAATCCTTACTTTTTAAGTAACTTTCGAAAGTAGAGGGTTCTCAACACGTTCGATTGTTTGCGACCATGTTACGCATGTTACGTTATTTTGAACTAATTCATAATTTGCAATCCATATCTATATTAGTTTCCTTGGTAATTACCGAAGAAGATGTTTTTATTTATGGAGCAAAAGACTACTTATTGCGAAGTAAAATCTTTACTAATATTAAATGTAAAAATTAGTTTATTCGTTTGTTACTCTTAGCGGCTTAAACAATCATTATGATGTTTGTATATACCTAGTCCAGCCATAAGTTCTGTTACTAAAATTATTATTATTATCTATTACTAAAACTTATACCTACATATTGATTAAAGTCTCAGCAAAAAATAAAATAATATTCTATTTGAAATGACCACCTTTGGTTTTTATACAGGCCTTTAATCTGTCTGGTCACGAATTTATGTATTTATGCACTGTTTTCAAGGAAAATTTGGCCACTGCTTGCTCCTAAGATTTTTAAGAGGCTCGATGTCGCCGTGTCGTTTAGAGCAAACCATGTCCTCTAAAACTGACCATAATTTGAAGTCTATAGGGTCGAGGTCTGGGCTAGATGAGAGCCAATTTTCAGTTCTTATAAAGTTCGGAACGTTGGCTTCAAATCAGGCTTGGGTAGTTCGTGCCTTGTGACCAGGTGCAGAGTCCTGCTGGAAAGTCCATGGTATATTTTTAAAAAGTGTATTGCTGAGAGGTTTCACAACACGATCCAAGAGTGTATTTTGATACATTTTCGCTGAAGTTTTCACTCCTTTTTCACAAAAATGTAGTTTGGTGACTCCTTGATAAGACATGCCCCACCAAACTATCACTGACGCAGGATGATAACTACGTTTTACTTTTTTAACCACTTGAGCAGCTTCTTTAGAACTATGAACGTACAGTTTATCATTTTGCTTACTGTAGTGTTCTTCAATCGTGAAAATTTTTTCATTGGTAAAGAGGATTTTTCCGTGCCTTTCAGCTTCGTATCGCGACAGAAGGCATTTGGATCGATCCACTCTTTTTAATTGTAAAGATTGATTTAGGGCATGTCCTGTATATCGACAATAAGCACCGAGCTTCAGGTCTTGTTCTATAATATGCAACAGAGTCCTAGTAGCAATCTTCATTTCTCGAAATAAGATTTTTTGCTTCCTAATGGGGTTTTGACTAATTCTGGCTTTAACAGCATTAATAGCCTTTGTAGTTTTAACAGCACGTGGACGCCCTGATCATTTCTAGTCTTTGATAGAGGAAGTGTTGATGTATCTGTTAATAGTACGATATACGAAAATATGGCTGATACCAAGCTTTTGAAGTGCCTGGAATATGACCGACGGCTCCATACCCACATTGTGTAAGGCGATCACTGCAATCCTATTTTCTTTAACACCCCGTTCCATATTGTACTTTGATAATAAACACAAAAAAATATGTGAAATGGCGTTTGAAAGTTTTTAAAATATATTCCAAATACAAAATAATTAAAAAGTTGAAAAAAAAAGAAAAGTTTGTATGTTAGAATATTTATGGCCAGACAATAGTTAGGACAAACAAAGGGCATATGGTATTTTTATGTCAATCAGTGAATATATCCCAATCACGTATACGAAGTCGCGGGTAAAATCTAGTCTTATATACACGTGATTTCATGTTCTAAATTCAAATATTTACAATATAAGGTTTCTACGAAACGTATCGTAGTATCTATCGTCTTTTGGGTATTTATGATATATCCAGTCGTATGTATGTGCTCACGACCGTAATTCGAATTTTCATGAAACAATATATAGTTAATTGTTTGCTATAATTTTCATGGAAAAAAATCGAATTCATTCTTAATTAGGTTAGGACCGATTTGACATTCAAAGTAGTGGTAGGGGAGCGCGGGGCTGGAAGTTCCGATTTTCTAATAACATGAAATTTTATCATAAAAATAAAGGATTTCATTTTCAACATCAGTAAATGTTGGACGGCTGTTTATCGTTATTTGTAATATTGTAGTCGCTTCTACTAATATCTTAACAATTCTTTTTACAGAAGCAAATTTCTAACAAATTTCGGAGCGGAACATTCAACCCCTGTTCTGGGGCAAGTTGTTCCACCTTTGAGGCAAATTGTTCCGCTTAGATTATAACAATATTGCGGTAGAATAATAAAGGTTTTCTTAATTAAAACAACTTATCTATAAATATATTAATCTTAAGTTTATTATATTCAAAACTATACTAAAAAAACTAAATGTTACTGGTACATATAACTATATATACTTTCAAAATCAACAAAGTTTAAGTGGTAACCTCTAGACAACTTTTCTATTGAGATAAATTTTAATTAACACTAATTTTAATCATCAGTCTTATTTTAATCAGTTGTAATTAACTTTGGCAATCTCCATTTTTATTCATTAGTAATCTTATTTATCACTTATGTCTTCGTCTGACTCACAGTTAGGTGTCTGTTAAAATAGTCGTCTTTCGTAAACGACGTTTACGAAAACCGGCTAATCTTGGTGGTGCTTTAGGCAAAGGCTTTACAATTTCAGGGTTAAACACACAATTTTTCCTAACTGGCGTTAATTGAAGATCTTGATTAGTGGTCAGTGTTGAAGTCTCTAGCTGCAAATCATTCTGAGTTACCTCAGATTGATTTGCAGCTAGAGTTTTCATATTGGATGGTCCTGGTTGGTCATATTCTGCCAAAGTTGAGTTGGTAGAAGACTGAGAAGGCTCTTTATTTGACAAAGGCCGATCTGTCACAAAAGATGGAGCAAAATCTTGATCTGTAAAAATATCGGGATTATAAGGACATATTCCAGTTTTTTTGAATGCGTTCATAATATTTGTAGGGGTCGCTGCTAATGGCCATGCTGTTTTAACAATCCCAGGAATTTCATAAATTGACATAGTTTTGCCCGGATTGTTTCGGAGCCAGTTATCTTGGGCTTTGGCACAGTATGTTTTAAAAGGCCCGTTAATGCCAACATCTAGAGGTTGTAGCCTGTGAGTGCAGTGAGGGGGAAATGACAACATAATGATGGAATTGGCTTTAGCTTTTTCAACTACGCTAATATTAATGTGTGATGAGTGATTGTCTAATAATAATAACACCGGTTCTTCTGGAGAGGGTTTAGTGAACTTTATGAAATGGTCCATAAAAATGAGGAATTCAGTAGTAGTCATCCATCCTGAGCTATTTCCAGCTCCGACTGACTCAGGAGGGCCATCGCGTAAAAACAAATCTTTATACTTTAAACGTGGAAACACGAACATTGGTGGTATCGTATTTCCCGCAGCACTGGCTGCTAGCTCCACAGTAACCAAAGCACCGCGTTCAGCAGATACTATAGAACCGACCTGCTTTGTTCCTTTTTGAGCCACTATCTTCTTTGGTTTTAAAACGGTCGATACTCCAGTCTCGTCCAGGTTCCAGATTCTTGATGGTGTCAATTTATATTTCAGCAGAATTTCACTAAGCTTCGAGAAAAATTCGTTTACATTATGTCTGTTAAATGCAGATGCACGTCCTACACTAGTCGCTTCGGGGGTTCTTATTGATAAAAGAGGGTTCCTCTTTATAAATCCAGTGAACCAATCTGCGCCAGTTTCTCGATTCTTGTGCCATGACGGGGGAATGTTTTCTAAAGAAAATTTTACTGCACATTCATATGCGAGTTTTCGCACTTCTCCAGGCAGAAGACCAAAATAAATTGAGGAGCATTTTAAAATATAGTTTGCTAACTCTTTTTCCTGTTCTGAGGTAAACACTAGCCTGGGTTTATAACCTATGGTAGGAATCTTGCCAGCTTTCAACTTTACAACAAATCGATGTAACGTCATGTGGCAAATTTCAAATTCTCTTGCTACAGTTTTAACAGGTTTTCCATCCTTGATGACAGCATCTGCAGCTCGACGCAATAATGTCTCGGAGGTTTTACCTCTCTCTGTCTTGCGCTTGTAGTTTCGCATCCTTAAAATAAAAGAAAAAAACGTCATAAGAATTTTACATACGACTTAAAATCAATTGGGGTAAATTGTTCCGGGGAACAACCAGCCCCGCCAAAAGGGAACTTATAACCCCAAATTACATTTATATATGAACACTGACTTACCGGCAAACTAATAAAATCAATAAAAACAATACCTAAGTACTAAGATACCTTACTAATGTCACTACAATTTAGGAAAGTTATGCATAAATAGGTTCATAATAAACAGAGATAGACCAAATAGTTTAAACCCAAAAAAATTTACTTACGTGATGTTTTGACAGCAACGTGCATACAGCCACTCAACCGCCGTCGCTGGAGTAACTAAAATGGTTGCCGACGTGGCGAATCATCTGATGTTTTAACGACGCATTTCACATGTCTTGCTATCTCTTTTCTTTACAAAGTTATTACCATCGGAACAACTTACCCGGGGAACTTCCAGCCCCGCGCTCCCCTACATGCATTTGCGACATCTATTTAAATTCAGTTGAGCTTTTGTTAAATGAATTTTCATTCGTTACAAACAATCCTTACTAATATTAATAATGCGAAAGTGACATTGTTATTTCATGGCCTATTTGGATGTACCAATTGTTATGATGAGAAGGGCATGACAATCAAAATCAGTAAATATGCTTTGGGTACGCGGACAAATTTGTAAATTTAGCTAGTATTATACAATTCAAAGAGACTTACAGAAAATTAAAGTTCAATTGATTAAAAAATCCAATAAACGTTATTAATTAGACAGTCACTTATCCGCTGTTCGTTTATTAGCTTTCAAATTGAGAAAGTTAATTTAGTTGATCGCTTTTTGTGCAATTAAATTGTTTAATGTGCGTCGTAAAGCAGTAAGCTATTTGGTAATGTGATGCCTATGTCAGATTCTGATTCGATTGCGATTTCACTTGATACTGGCTCCGAAAAATAGCTATAGACCCGATAAAGGACCGAATAGATAACCATTATGGGCCCACGAAAGTAATACAGTGGACGACGTATTTGAAATGATAGCGTCTATCTGTTTATTATCACCCCAAGTCTGGTGGAGTAGGCAGTGAAAAGCGAGCGCTTTAAGTCTACATACATCTATTGCTTCCATTACTTTTATAATTCGTTTTGTGCCCGCATGTCGATTGACTTGCAGGCTTGTCGGTTGACTTGACTCCTTCTTCAGATAGAATGCGGTATCATAATAGGTTAGTCTAAGTCTTTCTCGGTATCTATATCCATCCACTTTGGTAACCTTTTTGACATGATAGTAGATAATTAATAAACTGTTTTGGTATTTCTCTACGTAAATCTGTAAAATAAGTGCGTATGCATATTTTTTAATACTCATAACATTCAGATAAATACTGATAATAAGTAATTATGTAATGTAATAACTATTAAAGCTACATTTTAAGTAAATAGTATTATTATCATTAATTGAATATATTCATTCAGTTAAATCGCAATATAACCATCTCTCTTATACAAAATTATCTTATGGCAGTATCCCTTAACTATGTAATAAAAAAAAATAATGATATCTGTAGATCTCTTTATAATCTCCTACAAAACAATTGTTTTGTAATTTTCATTTAAACTGACAATTTAATACAAGGAAAGAGACAAAACGGTTCAATAACTAAAATAGGTTTATGAGATATTTGACGTTTTTATGAATAAGAGGAATACAATATATTTCGAATAAAATTAAAACAAATACACAAAATATTTTATTTATAGTGATTGATTAAGCCGCTAAGATATTTTTACCTTTTACAAATTTATATTTTCTTGTCTAATATGCTTCAAATATCTATTACAATTATTTATTATAACTATAATAAAAACTATAATTATATTATAACTAAAAAGAGCAAATTGAGAATCTCCTCCTTCATAAATCGTATTTTGTTTTATTTAAAAATGTCTTTTTTTTCTAGAAAATGATGGTTAATTTTTAAACGTGAAAATATAATAATAAATAAATATAATAATAAACAGAGGTGGAGCAAAATTCTCATGTTATATGAATGTTGAAATCTATTAATTTAGTTTTATGAAGGAAAATGTAAGAGCTTACATATTGTAATTGAAGCTATTTATTTTCTATAATTAATTTTTTTTTTCTTTTTTTTTAATATTTTAAGGGCTTTTACCTTCTTCAGGTATATCAGTCCTATTGTACCCTGAACTGATTTCTCCAACAAAACTTTATCTACCTTCCCTAGATGCGGAAAGAGAAGAATTAATGGGCATCAATAATTTACACAGATGTTCAAAAATTTCTGGTTTAAGTTCAGCTAACATAGTTTGAATAAGACCAACATTCAATTTATTTAAGTTAAAGTGGCGCATGAATTCTTCTCTTTCCTTCGTGTTAATACGACACTCTAATAGAATATGATGCACATCATCGATGGTATTACAAGTTTGACAATGGAGTGACAAGGACTTTCCCATCATATGTGCAAATTTTTTTGATGGATAATGACCAGATCGTAGACGAACAGCTAATTTAATACAGTACCTATTGATTTTAATTCCACAAAACCAAGGAATATGTGGAGGTTCAGCCTGAATAGTTTTGTACCAAATGCCTTTTTCTTTTGAAATTTCGTTAAAATATTCTTTCCAATCTTTTTGACATTGATTTTTTAATTTAGATATATAATCAGTAAAATGTGGTAATGACTGATGTTCCCTACCTTTCTCTATGCCCAGTTTAGCTAAACGATCTGCTTCTTCATTGCCCCGTAAACCAACGTGTGCTGGAATCCATTGCAGTATTAGATCAATTTTACTTAGATTTAATTTATGAATGAGTTCTAAATTTAGTTTTATGAAGGAAAATGTAAGAGTTTACATATTGTAATTGAAGCTATTTATTTTCTATAATTCATTTCATTATCGTTGGAAACGTTAGAATTCACAAATGTTAAATTAATGGACTAGCGACCCATCTCAGTTTTGCACGGGTAGATATTTAGGTAGAAGATTTTCAATTGTTTTTAAATAAAGTATAACCTATATTATTATCTACTATTATCATACTACTCGTATTACTTTAAAAAAATATCTCAAATTCAATTTTCCATCACGTCACTTTAGATAATAAATTTTACTAGATTAATTCGGATGTAGTTGTTATGAAATTTGTACGATGCATAGTTTTTAATTTACAGGAAAACATAGAAAACATCTGGCAATTTCACCCCAATTGTTTTTATTGATTATATGACATTTATTATTATTTTCTTTTTTTAGAAGCCATTTTATACGGGCAAAACCGCATGATACAGCTAGTAACAATTTAATAAAACCACATACATACATAATTGTCTAGAGATTGTACTAGAGTAATTCTATTTCGCATGTGAAGGATAAAGGGGAAACAAAATATCTCTTCTAGTATATAACAGGAATAATCACGCATACTGGCGTGTCTGTTGAAATTAATCCATCACAATATGTAATGAGAAATTTGACTACCGTTATGTGAATCGAATATACATATACGCTATGGCTATATTGCTTTATATTATTATAAAACCAAAAAAGAATAAATAATATTATACCAATGGTAAAAAATATAAATTTGTTCTAAGAATTGTATAGGAATTTAATGTCCCGATACTCTTTTATACTGGCAAACTGAAAGAAAAAGTATTTTCGACGAATAGGATTTTATTTAACAGAAACCGCTTTTTACTATAAATATATAGTTGTTCCAGATAGAAGCTATAACGCAAGTTACTAGTAAGGAAGGATTTCCCGAAATTCCTACGGGAACAGAAAATAATGAGTTAAGTGCTTGCTACACTGCAGGAAATAGCTATTTTTGATACATATCTATACTACATACATATAGATATATTTGTATAGATAAGTCTACAGTTGAACTCGAATAGTACAGAAATTCTATTTGTATAACTATACAACGGAAATTTAATGAATTTACTCGTATGACATTTGTCGTTTCCGACAATTGTTTCGCCTTCATCCGGTAGTCTTCTTAAGGGTGAGTACGGCGCTTTCGGATTTCCGGACGAAGACAAGCATAGTAGGTATCTAAGTAAATTGTCTAGTTATAGATATGTGTTTAAAAACAGATCTGTAATAGAAAATATCAGAAAAAGTTTGTTACATGGCTATACTGTAAACAATATCATGTAGGTTATCTATCTATATATATATATATATATATATATATATCTATAAAAATTCTCTTATATATATATATATATATATATATATATAAGAGAATTTTTCTGTTAGGTATGGTGGGAGGTAATTCCCTAGAGGTAAGGCGACTTAATATATTTAGGGGAATAAAGTTCAATGCGTCTGTGTTGAATCTTTAAAGCATGTTTGTTTTAAAACTCTGTAATCATGACCGTAATCACGGAATATTTACACTACTACGCAATAGGGCATTCAATGCTGGTCGGGCGCCACTAACTACGTCTGCTCAGTACTGTAGTTGCGAGTTCAGAACTGGACTTTTTTCGTTGTACTGCCACAGAGAATCACAGGATGCTAATAAATTACGCAGAATTGCAGTTTAAATGTTTATTTTTAAAGTAAGTTAGAATTTTTTTATTATTATTATTTTTCCATTATAATTATAATGTTCTGTTTTTGGTTTTTATTGACTGCATTGGTAACATGTAAAGCTCATTAAATAAATAAATTTTAAATTTATATATTTATAATATATATATATTTATAATAATTATATATTTATAATAATTTATATATATTATCGTATTATAAATAAATAAATTTTAAATTTAAAAAAATAATAATCAAGAATAATAAGAAAACACAATCACATTATAAAATGCCATTTACACTATTAAATTTGCAAAAAAGGAAAAGGCTTAAAAGGTGCTTGTAAATCAGAGTAGCCATATAAACGTTAGTTTCACAGTTTATAGCTACTTAAGTGGGATTTTAGTTTGTAAGGATATTAGTCAAATTCTATGGGGAAGTTAATTGATAAATGCGTTTTCTTCCTTTTATTGAAAATGTTAAAACGAGTAAGTGTACCTTTGTATACTTGTGTGTAATTATATTACATCGCATATAAATTAAATTACTCAATATCGAATGTATATTGAAATTTTCATTATTTATATAGATAGATAGATAGATAGATAGATAATTTATTTGCATAACTTACAGCACACAAACAAAAGACACAAAAGCAATGTGAAAAAAGATAAAAAAGATACATGTACAAAAGATTAAAAAAAAAAACCAAAAACAAAATCAGAATGCATAATAAATTTTTTTTTCTTCATGCGTGTGCCACAGTAATGCAAAATGGCCACAACTCAGCTTTTTGCTTTGCCCTAAAAAGAGCAAAACACTGATATTCTGTTGTGGCCAAAAGTGAGCCGCGAAATACCACTAAAAAAAAAATAATAAAAAAGAAAGAAATATAGATCAAATACATAGTGTGCGTTCGTTATACTCGCTATTTAGAAGAAGGGTAGTCAGAAGTTAATTTCTATCAGTTTCAAGCACTCAAAACAAAATGAATACCTAAATTATACAAATACAACTAGTTACATAAAAGCATATTAAAGAGGCAACAGCAGGCATGCCCATCGCCAGACAGCGATCCCTCCCAGACAACCCAAGGATGGAGAGAATTAAATTGTGTCTGTTAAAGGTGTGACAGAAAAGTAATAAGACTAAAATATGAGAGAAAAAATGGGTAAGAATCAATTTAAACACAGTATAAACAATATAAATAAAATAGACTTACATATAATCATAATAATAATTAAATCCTTATAATATACTAAAAAGATAAACGCAAATAAATAATACATATGTGTATATGAGTATGCATATATTGGTGTATTAAGTACTACGACGGAGAAGAATAAAAATGTACTGTACAAAGGGAGACAGCTTCCGCCACCGATTTTTGTTTTTCTAATAGCATTTCTTTAATATTTTTCCTAAACGTATGTAAAGATGTCATTATTCTGAGGGGCGGTGGGATATTATTCCAACATTTCGTGGCCTGATAGCGAAAGCTGCCGGTAAATGCCACAGTTTTATGACATTGAAGTGACAGTGGTGGTCGCACTGATCTAGAATAATACCTATCATAAAAAGTGGAGAACTTCAACTTACTGTGAAGATATTCCGGATTTTTAAATTTCATTACACCAAATAACAAAGTAGCTAAATGTAATTGTCGCCGGGATTCCATATTAAGCATAGACGCCATATTCAAGTAGGGTGAAATGTGACTACGAGGAGAAATGTTGAAAGAAAACCTACAACAGGCGTTTTGAACTTTTTGTATCAGCCGCTGCGTTTTACGAAGTAAACGAGGGCCGTACACTAGGTCACCATAATTGAATCTAGATAAAACTAAGGACTCGCATAAAGTGATGCGAACTTTAACCGATAACAAATGGCGAATTCTGTATAAAATTTTTAGACGATAGAAACAATTCTTAACCACATTCGAAATATGGCTTTCGAACCTTAATTGTTCATCAAATATAACACCTAAATTTTTAGCTTCCTTCACGCGTTCTATATTCCTGCCCAAGATACATAAAGATGGATTATTGTTTAAGAAATCATCGTGACATAGTCTATTAAGTTACAGATATAATTCTATAATAAAGGAAAACTTTATTTGCAATTTTTCCATACTTCCGATTGTTGTTATTGTAATAAAGGATGTACAACTGTCCTTTTTTAAACAAAATAATATCGGTTAATGGATTGATGATAGTGTTTTTGACGTTTGAATTTTGTTCATAATGAGGTAGATACATATTGGAATATGGTCTATATACTTTGTAATATATAAATAAAGTAAACGAGGAAGAGGAATGCATAAAAATATAAACAATCTATATGAGTCTCAGAATACCCATTTCAATTCTGACAGACGTTTCATTTGATATTCTTTGCGCGTTTAGGCTTTTGTAATTGTTTTACGGCATTACTCTTTGTGCTAAATAAATATAAAGTGCTTAATGCCATCCTAAAATGTTGTTTTCGCATTTATAACAGATATTATCTATTGTTACAAGTATTAGAGGTACCTATTATTATAGGTATTACAAATAATCATAATTACTAATACTTATAAGTTTGTAAATATCTATAATATAACATACCGTGTAATTCTGGTATAGAATAGACTACCCATTCCTTTTCCGTGGATGTCATAAGAGGCAATTAAGATAATTTAATAGTCGCGGGATTGGCAGCAGCGTCCCTCTTAAAATGTCACCATAGACCTAACTGCGGTTGCCAATTCGACTACCAAGCGTAGCAACTACTGACAGAACTCTTCTTAATGGGGGAGGACCTATATTTAGTAGTGGACGGCTGATATGATGATAAAGAGTAAATATGTAACTAGTCTAGCCACAAATACTGTTACATAAAAACTTTTCTTTTTTTTAACTTTTTATTATATTGAATTTGGAACACGTTTATTATTTTAAAAACTTCTATCGATTTCGCGTCATTTCACATATTTTTTCGTGTTTATTATCAATTTATAATATGGAATGGGTTGTTAAAGAAAACAGGATTGCAGTGATCCCCTTGCACAAAATAGGTATGGAGCTATCAGTCATATTCCAGACATTTCAAAAGCTTGGTATCAGCCGTATCGTACTATCAACAGATATAACAATATTTCCTCTGACAAAGACCAGAAAAGATCGGGACAGCCGCGTGCTGTTAGAACTACAAAAACTGTTAATGCTGTTAAGGCCAG